CAAAATAAAAAAATATGTCTAATTAATTCAACCCTTTATTGGGTAATCACACAATTAATGATTGCTATTTTCTACATTACACCCATTTAACACTTATTTAACACATATTACACAATAAAACAACCCTATTACTGTATCATAAAAAAGGTAACTAAGTATTACCAGGAAGTCCTATAATATGTGAAAAGTTTTATCTCCTAATCACGCAAATGAGGGGTTGCTACTATACCTAGGAACCGTGGAAATGTAAATAAAATGTTCTTTCCTAGAGGAGGTAAGGTTTCCTAACTCTCCAAGGACACCTGTAGGTCATGAGGTTTAACAAGTAGTTCTAACTAGCTAATCCTTAATGGCACAGTATGTACAGGAGGTGACACCCTTAACATGCTTACTGCAGAGTTCATTATAGCCAGGTAGAGTAGAACGTGCCTTTGCACACGCCTCTGGACCGGAGGCAGTTCAACATCTGCATTTAAAGTGACAGGCACTTTTCTAAGGGGAGACAAAAGGACTAGACAAGAAATGCTGAATTTGTAAAGTATATTCCGCTAAACACCTATGAAACCTCAGGGAATTTAATTATCTTGTTAAAAAAATGAGAGTCCTTTAATTCAGATTAGCATGGACCATAACCCTCCATTGAGTCCAGCCGGGCTCTGAGTAATGTAGAGAGAATTATATTAGCTGGCATTAGCAGAATGACAGCTATTGTGAATCTTGATGTGCATGGCCGCCATGCTGATTGCTGCCTCACTGTACATGGCCCGGGCCTCCTGGATAATAGGAGGCTATTTTTAGAACGGCAAAGAGAGAGAGGGGAGTTTTAGAAACGGCAAAGAGAGAGAGGGGAGGGTGGAGTGGGGGGAGATCGAGAGAAATGGCTGAGTAGAATAGGGATGAAGCAGAGAGGGGAGAAAGGGAGGTGAGAGAAAAAAGGGGAGATTGCATTGACAATCGTGCAACGCCGAAGCAGCCGAGGGAAGACAGGAAAATGTTATGGGCAACCAAGCACCTAATAAGCTTGAACCTCAGCACTCTGCATAATGCGACAGCTCATTACCGCCCAATTAGGCATTACAATGGCTTGCTTACCGAGGTTTATTGATGCAAATCAACCAGGAAAAGATACCCTGGTGCCAAAAAAACAGGAGGTGAAATTGGATGAGAATTTGTCGAAAGTACAGGCTCTGTGGCAGTTCAATCAATTTACAAAGTCTCTGAGGGGGAGGTTATCCAAATTAGTGTGTGATTGGGACAATACGGAACAGATTTTTTCTTTTCTTTTCCAGCATCTTGTTATCAAGCAGATAAGGTTTTCTCTGATGATATTATGATGACCCTTTGCACACCACACGCTCTGTTTCCAGTGATGTCAGTAATTGTACCATCTGTCTGGTGCATGGCATGCAACATTCTCCTTTAGCTCTTCCTCCTGCTGATCACACACATGATCATTCGTACACAATCACACTTATTCTCCATCCCACACACACACACACACACACACCTAGCAGCCCACCCTGTGAGCGTCATGGAGAGGCCTAATGTTCTCTCCTGCTGAGAGTCGCCAGGACGCTTTAATTTCTTCTGGACGTCTAATTCCCCTCCTCCCATATGCTGCCCGCATGGATTATCACATGCTACTAAACTCAGTCTGGATCAGGCCTGAGGTAATTACTTTAAATACATAATACTGTGTCTGTGTTGCTGCTGACAGACTGTGCTCCACTGCAATGATGTTTAAATGCAGTCCTGCTGGGCACTACTTTGCATAAAGAGGTCAACATTATTGTGTGCAATAAATAAATAAATGATGCATCTCCTGTCATCTCCTTCTCATATGTTAAAGGGGCCCGGTTCTGCTCATTCTCAGGTTCATATTGGTTTTTTGCACCAAAAAGAATGTGTCTATTACTTTGGTAATTATATGCATAAGCCCAGTTAATTTAACATTATTTGACTAATGTGTGGGATGTTATTGTTATTATTTGTTGCATTTTAAACCTTTTGATCAAAAATACTGTTCTCTTTTCTTTGGAAGGTAGTCCGCTATATCTTTGAGAACCTAGAAGGAATTTCTTTGTATTATAATCAAATAATAACAAAAAAAACGTCTATAGTGTGCTTTCTGAGAGAGTATTGAAATATCCAGAAACATAATAAAGAAATGTAATGAAATAACAGGTTACAAAGTGGAGAACAAGCGCAGGATGGGAGACATGATGAGTATGTGTGATTTGCAAAGCTCAGGACGCTTGACCTGAAAACGAGTCAAACTCTCTGTTCTCCACTAATGATGCCTGTATTGTAATGTGATAACATATTCATACGTGAAAATTGCAAAAAAATACAACTCCAGTTTCAAAAGTGTACAATGTAAATTAATTTATGTTTAAATGAATTAGTGTTTCGATTAAATCAAATCATTTAACAACAGTGTGTTCAAATTAAGCTCATACAATATGCATGTTTCAATATCTGCTGCATGGAGATGTAGATTGATGTACTATTGCCAACAGTTAAGAGTTTGTAACAGCTCCTATTTCATTTAAGCAATGGGTTTGTGTGTTCATGCTGCTCCCTGATGATGTGTGGCCTAAACACCAATTGCCTCGTTGCCTCACATTTAAATAATTCAACAAACAATTACTGTAGTCATTTATCCGGAAGTGTGATGCAGTTGTTTAAATTGACAGGTTAAAAAGAGCTAGCTGTGGAGTTTATTTATTTATTTTTCTACATCATTTTGAGACGAGGGAGACAAAGCAGAGACCAGTCTCCATTTTGTTTCACTCCCAAGGACACAGAGGAAGGAAGACACTTGCATAGGATTTCTCCCCAAATATGCCAAATTCAATATTGCAGACACACATACACACACTGCATATAAGAAGTAGCACACACAGACATTCAATAAAGCAAAACAAAAAAGGACACACACACACTGCCTGGGTCGAGCTAATATTCACGCGTGTCAGGTGGAACGGTCCATTCGGGGGTGAGAAAAAGAGGGGTGCGCTCACAGGTCCAATGTGGTTGCATTTAATGGAACAGTGGTGTAGTCCGATAAAGGGCAGCCATCTATCTGCACCCACCCAGTCAACTCTGACACTGTTTCCAAGGAAACGCCACCCGCGGGAGCCAGAGAGGGAGGGTGGGACCTTGAGGAAGCTAATTCTCCTGCGCTGTCAGAGAGCCGGGAGGAAGGAGAACGGGGATGGAGTGATGGAAGGGTGGGGGAGACAAGGAAGGGGGATGGGGGATATAGGGAGGGGTGCACCAGCCGCCTCACAGGGGTTAACTTTAATCAGACTTGACACACACATACCCCGGGAATAAAGAGTGACAAATGCAACTGGAGTCATAGATACACTTTCACAGATAGGGCGGACTCTCACACACATACGAGTGTGTGTGTGTGTGTGTGTGTGTGTGTGTGTGTGTGTGTGTGTGTGTGTGTGTGTGTGTGTGTGTGTGTGTGTGTGTGTGTGTGTGTGTGTGTGTGTGTGTGTGTGTGTGTGTGTGTGTGTGTGTGTGTGTGTGAAGGCGTCATTTTCCAGCGTTGCGGGACTTTTTGCAAAAATGTGCAGCAAATACAAAAAAATGACACGTCATATTTCATTTTCAGATCATTTTCTTTCGCTTCTCTCCAGATTTTCGGAGAGACTGAGAGGCAGTGATGCAAACGGCTGAGATAGAGACGCCTCACACAGCCGGGCTCACTGCATCATCATCATCATCATCATGCAGACACCAGATCACACTGTCACCTCCAATAATTTCACACATTACTGTAACAACTTCATCACTCATCATATGGGCTGTGTCACATCTCAGCTCTGTTAGTGTGTGTGTGTGTGTGTGTGTGTGTGTGTGTGTGTGTGTGTGTGTGTGTGTGTGTGTGTGTGTGTGTGTGTGTGTGTGTGTGTGTGTGTGTGTGTGTGTGTGTGTGTGTGTGAGGTGTGTGTGTGTGTGTGTGTGTGTGTGTGTGTGTGTGTGTGTGTGTGTGTGTGTGTGTGTGTGTGTGTGTGTGTGTGTGTGTGTGTGTGTGTGTGTGTGTCAGCCTGTTGTTAACGCTGCATTGACCTGGATGACAACAACATGAAGCTAATGGCTTCAAATTAGGCAGCTTTCCCCAACAATTATCATCACATCTCCTTCAATGTGCAATTTCATCCTCCTTCCACCACTTTTCCGTTTTAGCCTAATTTATCTCTCCCTCCGTCTCAGGTGCCCCGGGGCACCATCAAGGTGATCTGTTCCCCAGGCTGCACCTCCATAACTGTGGCTGTCATTCACAGTAGGGAAAAAAGTTTGTATATTTACTGGAACCTCTAAACAGTGGTGTAGAGTAACTATTCAAGTACAATGTTGTATTACTTTTTAATTCTACTCCACTACAATTCAGAGGTAAATTGTATCATTTTTCTCCCAGTAATTTGTTTTTAATTATCTTTAGTTACTTAGCTTATTTGGATTAATAATGTGAAATATAATCAACACTTAAATAAGACTTAATTACACCTGGAGTAAATTCACAAACTACCCTGCAGTATACAAAGCAATTAAACTAGCTGCACCTTTACCAGTTTTAATAATGCAGCAATATTTATAATCAAAACAGGTAGTATATAATATTCTGAAATGGACCGATCTGCAAAATGAGCACTTTTACTTTTGGTACTTTAAGTTTATTTTGATGCCAATACTTTTCTACTTTTAATTGAGTAACATTTTGATGGCAGGACTTTCACTTGTTGTTACAGAGTATTCCTACTCTACTTTTACTCAAGATCTAAGTTCTATTCCTACAACTGCCTCTAAATAAAAAACGAAAAAAAATGTGTTAAATGTATGTTTTTACACCAACAACTAGTCTCGTGCTGTCAGGTGATTGCAACCACCTATGGGTGGGACTTTCCCATCCAAGAGGGGGGGGTTGTTTTCCACATAAATACTCGCAGAATGCCTCGAAGCGCTAAATGACCCTGGGAAAGATCAGCTTTAGGACGCACGGAATTTCCTTGAGACTTGCGCGGAAAATCCTGGAAGATGATGTTGCTTTTAGCGATTGTGGAAATGGAAATCTGAGCGTGGTGACATCAAGAAAATGCGGCAGGATGAACATTCAAGTGTGAGGTTTCTCTTTCAAGCGACTGAGGAAAATAACGAGAGAGTTGATTTTGACCCCAGAGAAACCTGATGAATATCGTGGGAGACGCGCATCACGCCTACTGATATTGGTGGAGAGGTAAAGCACACAGGTACGTTGAATACCACGCCATTTAAAAGAGAAATGTAAATGTAAATTAATGAAATACTTGTTTATTAGTTAGTTCACTCTACCCCTCGATTCCACCGGGTCCGTCTACGTCGCGTCACGGCTGCGCCGCGGTTTTGGTTCGGCGTCATACCCTACCAGGCGCGTTTCAGGAGCGTTTCAGAAGCAGAGTGTCTTGCGTGCCGGCTCGCAGTTTTTGTTGATTTGGACATATTTCCTGGACAGGCTACTTTGTACAGACAAAGTCAAGGGTCTTTTGGACCCGGGGAGGGGTTTCTTGAGATCTTGTATCATTTTTTATCATTTCATATTCCAGCTATTCCTCAAAAAATGTTGTATCATGCCACCATTTTAATTGACATTTTAAGAAATTGTAGTTTTTGTATTACTACCCCAAGCTTCCATAAGTGGGTCAAAAATGACCCGCATGCATTTTCTATGGAATCCTATGGGAACCTTTGATTCTTATCACCTGTTGCTGTCAGGGATACATTCACTGTACCACACAGACTACATCACAAGTGATACCTCTCAGAAAGATTATTTTACACAGCAAAGATCTGATACCTGTCAGTATAATAATAATAATAATAATAATAATAATAATAATAATACATTATATTTGTATAGGGCTTTTCAAGGACTCAAAATCGCTTTACAATATAAGGGAAGGTTAGGGTGGGGGGTATAGGACTATCAAACTTGATCAACCGGCATGGATTGATGGGGGGGGGGCTATGAGTAGACAAGAGG